GGGAGAAATTACTGAAGCTCCGGGTCCCGCCTGGTAATTCTGTAATTCTCCCGGGTTTTAGCAGCCTTCCAGCGAGCTGTCCGTGCGTCGGCGGTCAGCGAGCATCCCTCGCTGGGGAGAGGGAAAACACCACGGTCTCCGCTTCGTCTCGGGGCCGGCGAAACGCTTCCGTCGCATCCCGTTGTCGAGCTGGAAGGGGGACGCTTAGGGAGCCGCGTTCCCTGGGCTCGTGGGATTGCGCCGCAGGAATCTGCCTCGCTGCTAAAAATAATCCGCTTGTGGTTTATTTATCCTGGCAAGGGAGCAGCAGGTTTTCCTGCGCCGGGCCCTGCGGCAGCGGTTTTGCTCCCGAATTTCCTTTTCCAGGGACTGAGCCGCTCCGTGGAGGGCGGGCGATGGTCCGGAGCCGCGACGCCGATGCGATGGGTATTTTTGGGTGGGGGGGACTGCAGCGATGGGCGTGAATTGGCTGTCTGCTCCCAGCCCAGCCCTCGGGGTCGTAATTTTGCTGCTTTTTCCTTGAAAAATGAAAGTGGCGGAGGCGAGGGGGCCGTGCCGGGCCACGGCGCTCAGAGCCGCCCCCCGCAGCCATGAAAGCCGACCGCAAGCGCTTGAAGGCGGAGAAGACGGACCTGGTGAGCCAGATGCAGCAGCTGTACGCCACGCTGGAGAGCCGCGAGGAGCAGCTCCGCGACTTCATCCGCAACTACGAGCAGCACAGGAAAGTGAGTGCGGGAGCCCGGCCCCGGGGGCGTCGTGGTGCGGGAAAGGGGGTCGGCAGCAGCGTGAGTGCCAATTCCAGTTGCCATCGGGTAAAAACCCACTGAAGCTTCGGGCGGATGCTCCTGCCGCAGCCAGGACTGGATGGTGGGGGGGGAATGGGGGAGAAAACTTTTTATAATACTGGAGGAAATGAGGCCAGTGAGACAGACTTGGGGAATTTGTTGTAATTTTAACAAGGTGCACAGCGGGCATCCCTTTCCCGGGGACCAGCAGCATCCTGCAACTCTCTGCCCGGTGCCGGCACAGGGCTCTCGTGACACCCGAAGATGTCGCTTGGGCATCGCAGCAATCGAGTGGCCACTGAGGGGATGGGAGAAGGGTGACGGGCACGTTCCTGACAGCCACCCTGTCTTAGCAGGAGAGCGAGGACGCGGTGAAGGCCCTGGCGAAGGAGAAGGACCTGCTGGAGCGGGAGAAGTGGGAGCTGCGGCGGCAAGCCAAGGAGGCGACGGACCACGCCAGCGCCCTCCGCTCCCAGCTCGACCTGAAAGACAACCGCATGAAGGAGCTGGAGGCCGAGCTGGCCATGGTGAGCGCGGGGACGCAGCGGGCACGGCTTGAGGCTCAGCCCTCGTTTGCCTCGAACATCCGAAACGCCCCAGCGAGTTTTGTCGAACTTAAACATTTATTTGCAAGGCCACATCCAGGCGTTTGCTGCCGTGGTTGCGCTGACGCGATGCTGGTGGAAAACAAACCCGTTGCTGGATGTCCTCGGCACAGCGGGCAGTGCGATTCGGGTGTTCACTTGCCAAGGGGAAGGGTGGGTTTGATGCAGTGCGCCGGTGCCGGTGCGGTGCGGCACGTCGATGCCAGTTCCGCCACGCCGGGAGACGTTTGGGTGGTTTTCCCCCTCCACTGACCGCTCTCTGTCCTTCCCCAGGCCAAGCAGTCCCTGGCCACGCTGACCAAGGATGTCCCCAAGCGCCATTCCTTGGCCATGCCGGGCGAGACGGTGCTGAACGGCAACCAGGAGTG